GTCAACTTCAACACAAACTGAACACAATGAGTTTCGGTATGGCAGTATGTCGCTACTGCCACTGCCGGACTTTGGGGCAGTGAGATCCAGAAGTCCACAGCCACACTGTCTGGATTCACGAACAAATGACAAAATCAAAGTGTAACGATAAATGATGCTGTGGAGATAATTCCTCCCTCTGGTGAAAGAAATGTGTTTTAAATGATTAAAACACCAGGCAATGTCGCTTGGGAATGATATAAGAGCAAGTATGTTTTCTCAAATCTCCACGGTAGTTGAAATTTACATAAAAAAATAATTTTTAGTGATATTAAACTGAGTTCTCGTTTGGATGAAAGAGCATAAAGACTGAATTTAATCAAATCTAGTTATTTTCTGTTCTCCTGACTTTACCAGCTTCATTGTTCATTGAAAAGTCAACCCAACATGAACCGATGATTTGTCCTTTTGGAGCTCTTAGCTAAGAGAGCACTTGGCACAAATGGAAGTAAAGATCATATTTTTTTGTGCTTTGTAACTGCGTCACCGTTCAGTAGCGAAGCACCATTAGCCTAGCCATTGCCTTCCCTTCCTGTTCCTGTGAAACAAAATCTCGCTTACAGCACAGTCTGGCTTTCTCTCGTTCATTCGGATTGTCTCCAGTAGATTATACACTGGGCCAATCAGCAAACAGAAGAAGTGAACGATGATGATTTTCTGCGCTGTTTTTCCAATTGTAGCCTGCCTTTGAAGCGGAGGAAGTGAACGAAGCCATTCAGTTCATGTGCCACGCTTCCAAATATTCAATTAACATTACCAGCCTCCACGTTCGGCTCAGTACTTCTCTGTTCTCAGTTTGCTTACAACGCAGGCCATTTCTGGAAAGCTCCTTAACATGAAACTAACACATCAAAGTAGCAACTGGGCAAAATTTTAAACTCCAACACAGTCAGTGTCTTAAGGAAACAATCGTTTCTCAAAAGCCTAGAGATCAAACCCTCTGTACAAGCAAAGTGTTATCAGGATAACGCATTGTCAAAGTTATCAGTAAGTAGACGCAATGTGCAAGTGATAGGAATACTCTTTATTCACATTTCAGCTGTGATTGATGCAGATGCAGCTTAAGGCAACAGAAAACATATTACAGGGGGAAAAAAAACACAGTTACAGCTTCTCCATGACCCTTGACTGTCTCTTAAAAAGTAGTTTTTATGATACAAAAATTGAATTTAGATCTACCTGTTGTTAGCACGTTCTATACCGATATGCTCCGGTTTGCGCAGACATGTCCAGTGTGCTAATATCAAAACACTTCTCCGGCTGGATCTGACGTTTATGCGTTTAGTGGGTGATCTTGTAGACCTCTTCGCCAACATGTAGGACGCCCGTCTTCTTGACGGTGTGCAGCTGCCCGAACAGCGGAGCCTTTTTGTAGATGTGCTTCTCTGATGGCTTACACAGTCGATAGCTGTGGAAAGAATTTCTCGTCAGGCTACACTGCACTGTAAAAAGACCGTTTTAAGGTTTTACAAACATTTTTTCTTTACTTGATAAACCCAGTCCATACATTCAACACTTAATGTCTATTTCCATCCATCCATCCATCCATCCATCCATCCATCCATCCATCCATCCTCTTCCGCTTATCCGGGGTCGGGTCATGGAGCAGCAGCTTCAGAAGGGAGGCCCAGACTTCCCTCTTCCCAGCCACTTCTTCCAGCTCCTCTGGGGGAACCCCAAGGCGTTCCCAGGCCAGATGAGAGACATAGTCCCTCCAGCGTGTCTTTTGTGTTACAAACATAATAGCTACAAACTACTTACAGTTAAAGTATTTTTGACTGCAAAAATAGAAAATTTAGCTCGTCATTTTCATAAAGAGACCAAGCTTTTGCATGTACTCCAAATTGTTCAAGAACAGCAGCTGATTTAATTTGGGTATGCCTTTTCAGGCGTTTTTGGTGATTTTGGTACTGCCACTTAAGGGTTGAAATGACAGTATATTCATGCGTAAGCGTGACCTCGTCAAATTTCAATGTTCAGATTTGAAAATTGATGTTCACAAATAGATTTCACCCCATCTGACTCAGGTTGTTTAGCCGAGTTACTAAGGAAAAACTGAACAGCTACTTGAAGACAGACTTATAAACAATTATACACTATGATACTTGAGTAGCTTTCAACGGGGAAAATCATATCAATGTCAGCGGAGAGCGAAAAAAAAAGCAATGTGGAAGGATCTGGAGCCATCTAGTGGCAAAGCTGCAGATTGCAACCAACTTTCCTTAAGTGTTGAACAGGGAAAAAAAAAACACTAAACTAAAAGTAAAACTGTTTAACCGTTTCCTTTGGTTGTTCCTGGCAACTCCACTAGTGTGCAACTATTAATAGCCGGTTGTTAGGAAACAAAACAAAGAAAAAATTAGCGCCTGTAAGAGCGATCTGAATGTCAGCTGGCACGGTTTTCAGCAGAGGAGCTGTGATTAAAGCAGATCGATCAGAGTGTGATTTAAAAAAAGGAGCAATCTTGCAACGCTGCAAGGGTCAGCTTCTAATAAAAGCGTTTCTTGAAAACTTTCTTTGTAAATTATCACTAAAATCCCAGTTCATGTCCCACCCACCAACATAAGGAGAGTGGGATTAAATCACAAGCTGTCAAGTGTTTAATCCTCATAGCACAATCCAATCTGCAAAACTCAGTACAATCACCTTTTCAGAGTTTCTAGAGGCTCTTTCCTGCTCATCACACCCGTCTCTGGGTCAACTGTGGTCAAAATGCACCTGGAAACAATAGAAAAAACAAAAAACATAAAAACTGATTGCAGGTGAGTTTGCCTCCATTTTCATCAAACTGTTGCTCGTTTGTCCCAGGATGCTCGTTTGCAGCTGGCTTTGTCGGCAAATGAGGAGGTTCTTGTGTGAAGCGTCCAACCGCGTTACCTTCCACATGACATTACACGCTGCAGCCTCACGCTGCCAATCTGGATCTCTTCCCAAGAATCCTGAAAAAGCAAAGCAGTTGGAGATAAATTTAGTCCCTGCTGTTCGCCTTGAAAAGGGCGAGCTATTAGTCAGAAACAAACAGACGAGTGAGAATTTATCCAGGCAGCAGGAGATAAAATAACAAATACATGTACAGCAAAGACGTTACATCAGTTTTTGATTTATTTTTTTAAGATGTTTTATAGTATTTATTTATTTATTTTTTCTTTGTCCAACTGACCAACACACCTCATCAAACGGCTCGCAGTCGCCGATCACAATGCTCGGGCGGAAGCGCTCCGTGGTGACCTCCTGGTCCAGTTTGCTGCTGAGATCCTTAACAGATGCCTCAGACAGCAGCATGATAGGCCCATAATCTGGGTACGCCACCTTCTGGATGAAAGGTTTTAAAACCCAATAACCATTATTTTCAGGAGATGAGCAAACTCAGGGTGCATTCACACCAGTGCCGTTTAGTCAATCTCAGGTTTGTTCATCTGGAAAGTCCGGTTCGTTTGGGGAGGTGTGAACGCGTAATCGAACTCCGACGTACAGACGCACCCATCCGACTATTTTTACTTCTGATACCGATATCTGAAATATAGTATCGGCCGATATCGATCCAATACAGAGAAGCAGTGCTGAGTTGACTTAAAATGTTTCTTTTTTTGTTAAGCACCATAAATGTGTTGAATTACAAATTTACTTGAAAACTCTGCACCAGTACAGCATACTTAAATACACCAACAACTTCACAAGCTCGAACATGTAAAAACAATTTTAATTTTTTCAGTCAGTAAAATCTGGAGTACAGCCAATGTAAAATAAATAAATAAATAAATAAAGGAACCGAAAAAAACATATGTAAAACATGCAACTTCTTTCAAATGGTTCTGAAAGTGCAATTAGGAATTCTAAATATAATTTAAAATAATAAAGCACGACATCGCTCAGATCACAGACCTAGAACTAGACTGAATAGAATCGCCCCTATGGATCAGGCACATAATCACTGATACCCGATCTAGGATTTTTTTCCATATTGGGACCGATACCAATATTAATATCGGATTGGTGTATCTCCGAAGGTTTGACACAGAAAACCGCTCCAGCTAAAAATGTAGCAAATGCTGCCAATTTAGTCCCCAATCGAACCGGGTATACTGGACCAGCAGGTGTAAGAACACCCTGTAATATCTGGGAATTGAACTCAGCAGTAGCGTTTAATGGCTACCTCAAACTGGGGGAAAAGAGGCTCGCTCTCAGCCGGCCTCCTTGGCTTCATGTGAGGCTCATAATGCACCAAGCGAAACGTTTTCTCGCCCCCTAGGAAAGTGGTGAGCCAATGGGACGCCTTGTCGCCACAGTCCCTGCCCTGAATGTCCTTGCTAAACACTCTGCAAAGCAAGAAAAAGATTTTAATAACATAAAGACTATCGTGAAAAGGAGCAGAGTGTGAAACCTGCTTTAATACAAAATGAGTTTTACGAAGTAAAATATGGAGATTATTTCATGATTTGACCTCAGGGTTTTAGCAAATGTGGAAGGAATTGTCTCGACTTCCTGTCTGAAGAAGCCAATCAGATGTTAGGGTGTGCCATTGTCCCGCCCACTGAGTTTGATGGCTGACTGGACGGTTCAAATTAACTCATGATGTGCTTTAGCTCCAGAACATAAAATCATTTATTACGTCTAGTTTTTAAAATGAAATCAATACATTAAATAGAGGCACAAATAATTGATTCTATATCCAACAAATTACTTCTGTGTTAATTCACAGTTTTTTTTTTAAATAACAGATTTAAATAATTATTTCATGTTATTTATTTATTGTAATTTGGCACTCTTTACTGTCTTTACTTCTGGGAATGACAGGAAAGAAAGGGGAAAATTCTGGAGGATTGGAGATTTTTTGTTGTCGTTATTAAATTTGCAGCTAAACTGTGGAGGACATGAAACCTGCAGTCAAGGATGTGATTCTCAGGCTGTTTCACTGGGAACTTCAGCTCCTCCATGTCTGGTCCATTCAAAGTAGCGTAGCCGCCCTGGCAGGACAGGGACACCAGGACCAGACGGGGCTCCTGTCTGGCCGTCACCATGTTGCCTTCCTCTGTCACCACCAGCCAGTGTCTGTAAACACACACACAAACATACACACAGGTGGACCTTTCACAGCTGCAACATTCAGCATATCTGGATCAACTCCAAATCTCGGGCGATGAAAACCTCTGCACTCTGAACTTGCACAAACAAGAACCTGGACTGGTTACATAAGAGTCTGTCCTGGATGTTTCCGTTAAGACGGTCCTGGAGCGCAAAATGCCTTCCACACTTTTCTGATTTTCATTTCTAAAACATTTTTGAAAAGCGGATTCTCGTCAATCTGCTTCACAGGCATGCACGACTTTATCTTGGAGTAACGTGACAACATGTGAAAGTGAAATCAACAATTAGCCTAAATAAACATTTATGATAGCTTCAAAAGCAATGCTATGCGCAGTTAAGGCTCTGACCAGTAGAGGAGTTCAAAGTTCAAGCTGGACATGAATGACCAACACCTCCTCTCAGGCCCAACTGATCTGCGGACCGCAAACAGAGCCGCAGATCTGCACAAACACGTTTTCCGTGTTTATTTTTAGTTATTGCTTTTTATCCAGCATGGCTGTAATCACGGGCTTGTTTTGCATGTTTGTGTTTCTGCACAACTTGAACCACTTTCTCCTGAGTGTCCGAGTAAAACCGTGACAGCTGACATTACTAACAGATTTAAATAAAAACTTAAAAATAAAAACCTGCTGGTGTAGCCACACTCACCGATCCTCCAACTCTCCAGCCTTCAGCCCCATTTTCTGGCATTCTGCGACGCTCACAGGCACCGCTTTGCCCGACTTGAGAGGGTGAATGAGGATCTGCGACACTACGCCCACGCGAACGGCTTTTTCTGGCTTTCGCATGTATTTATATCCGAGTCCAAATCCCAGAAGTGCGGCTCCGGCTGCGCCGACCAGAAGAGCCGCTTTCTTATTCTGGGCCAACGCGTTCGCAGCCAGCTCCTTCAGATCCATTTTGGACTCGCTCTCTCGCAGACTTTTCTCTCGACGTTGAACTTTTTATTAAAGAGACAGCGGCGTCCACGGTGTGACGTTCAATGACACTCACACGGCGTGGTTAATGAGGCTTGCTCTCCTTGTATTATAAAAGGCCAATTAAGACAATTTGATTTTCTCACACGCATTTCTGCCAGTCTTGATAAAAGTAATACACACGCACACACACACACTGTTCCCAGTTCAGTTCAAACTGAACATTAAAGGCATAGTTCAAGATTTTAAATATAAAAAAATCAACGTTTTTGATTTTGTTATGTTATTTCCTCATCAAAAACAAAATAAAATAAAAATAAAAATACAGGGAGTGTTGCTTTGATTCTTTCATGCATGTTTGAAAAATCCTATAAACTCCATGGCAACCATTCAGCTGTTCAAAACGCCTGGGGGGATCTAGCTCCGAGTTCAAGGACGAAGCATCTCCTCAAAGCTGCAGTTCTCAAGCTTCAGTCTCACAGAGCAGCCCTCCCTCATGTCTCCCCCACTCAGCTCCTTCAGACTAACTAGCAGCAATTAGCAAACACCTGGTGGAAAGGCGCATCTGCTGAGCTCATCATACGAGACATTTCTCAGTCCAACGCTGGTAAAAATGTTGTTAAAGGGTTATTAGAGAAACCATGTGAGATGACTTCCTGAAAGTGGAGTTTCAGAAATAGCAGGAGTTTCTTAAAGAGACAGAGGCCCAATTTCAAGCCTGTTAATCACCCAGAGATACAATTCAGGTGTGTAGCAGAAGGGAAATACCTAAAACATGCAGGACAGGGGGGCGGTGAGGACCAGGGTTGAGAAACACTGTTTTACATCATGTTTGATATAAAAGCATTTTTATAGCAACTAAAGGTAACACTAGGTTGTGCTACAAAATGACATTATGTTACATAGAAATACATAACACTGCCCCTTTAAATCAATAACAGCTAACAACCTCCCTACAGAAGCTCACTTCAAAATGTCCTGAACGATCCCCTTTCATAATTGACACAAACTTTGGACCCACTCAGGGCTTTTTATATTTTCTTTCTTTAAAACCCCTTGCCAAGTGATGTAATGCCATTGCTGACCTTCTCAGTGGACCTATTTTTGTCTTTGACATAGATAGTCAGGTCTGTGGCCAAAGTAGAAAACAGCAGATGCTGTAGCAATAGGGGGTCAATACAGGGATTTGTCCAGTCGACACTCCTTCTGTTGCTTCTCTGTGGTCCACGTCTAATGGCTCCAGGCAGATACACAGGCACGGGACCGGGCCGCACAGCCTGCTTGGGAGGTTGGAGTGCTGAGCGAATTTTGACAATGACAAAAAAAACCCCACACTAATTACCCTTGGCCGCTGACAATTTGATGGGATAATTCTGCTCTTAGTGGATTAGCGGACCAGTCTCAGTATCTGCTCTACAAGTTTAGTTCTGTTTAGTGATGTTTTCTTTCTTTACAAAATGATTAACAGCAGTGGTTCTTTGCCTTGCGGTCAATAAAAAAAAAAAAAAAAAAAAAAAAAAAAAAAAAAAAAAAACAAAAATAAAAAAAAAAATACCCACTAAGGGGGGGCGGGGGGGCCAACACAAGGTGGGGGGGTTC